CTCTGGTTCCTTGAGGCTTCCTCACCCCCCACTACCATGACCTCAGTGCTGCTTCTCAACTCAGACTAGACGGGCACATGAAAGGGACGGGAGCTCATGACACAGAATCCAGGAACAGGAGTGGAAATAGTGATACCAGAAGGGTAGGGGGAAGAGGAACAACAGAAAACATGGGGGAAGGGAGACAGCGGTCAATGTGAGAGATGAAAATAATAACAATATACAATCTATCAGGGGGCTATTGGGGGGAGATAAAAGAGCTGATATCAAGGCTCAATAGAAAGTAAATGCCTAGAAAAGAATGAAGGCGATATATGTACAAACATGCCTGATTCACTTGATTTATGGATTGTGGTAAGAGTTGTATGAGCCCTCAATAAAATGATTTTTTAAGAAAGAAGTAGTTCCAGGAGCGGTATCTGCTGTGCCTCCCAAGCACCTTTCCCGGGAACTATGTGCAACATCTCAGCATAAAATGGCCAGAGCTGTGTATGTGAAGACTGTGGGTTCACGTCATTTTAGGTTGTGTTATATGGTATGATTTCGTAGGTTGTTTGTGTGTGTGAGAGTTTTATTTTATTTTTAAAATAATTTTATTGGGGGCTTGTACAATAGTAGGTTGTTTTTTAAAAAAATTATAACAATCATAATATTTTCCCAAATAATGGTAATTGTTTCTTCACTTTACATCATTTCGACTTACAATAGCATTCTTATGTGCTTCTTCTAACCCACCCAAGGGGAGGGTACTGTTTATATCTCTACAGGAGAGGGACAGGGGGACCAGACTTCAACCCAGTGTGCCAAGACATGAATGCAACAAACCAGCATGAAGCAGCAAGCCAACAGAGAGGTCTGCGTGGACACCCCCTATCCCATGATGAATGCATTTCAGAGGACAGCACTGAAGCGACAGCTCAGGGAGAGGGGCGAGTCTGATCAGAGCACACAGGAGCAAAAGAAGAGGGAAGGAGAGAGAGTGCAACACATCCTGGCCCACTAAGCCCTGAGGATGATACTCCTGCTCAGAGAAACCAATGCACAGAGAGGACCACAGGACTGGCCCCACCACGAGACACGATATCCTTCACTGACCCATAGTGCTACGGAGGACAACAATGGGAATTGTGCCCTATCTGGCCCCACTACAC